TAATTTGAAAAATGAAAGTAACTCATTCAATACTTCAAGAGAACTTCTATCTTAATGATACATTTATAAATTTAGAAAACCAATTTAATAAAATATCATTCTATTGCAAAATTAAAAATAGCATTTATTTTATATATAAACGAGTAAATATAAACGAATAAACAAAAAGGAGAAAAATTAGGTCAGTAAATTTGGAAGATCAAAATTCAAAAGTTCAAATTTGGCATTTATTTCATTTAAAATTCGTTTAGTCAGAAAAAACAAAACAAAACAAAACGAAAAGGAAAAACCATAATTCAATCATAAAGTGAAATATTGTATTAAATTACTTTTCATCATTTTCTTTTGCACATAACTCTAAATTCTATTTTGAACAAAAATTTATTGTAAACATTATGTTCTTCCAACTACAAAAAATTTAAATTTATCAATTTAAAAAAAAAAAAAAAAAGAAAAAAACTTTTCCTGTTTCTTCAAAGTATGACACCATCACCTTTTTTTTTGTCTTTCATTTTTTCTCATTTTTTAAAACAAAATAAAAGTGATTTCACGAAAAAAAAATTGCGCCAAATATAACAGTGGTCAAAGAATGATCCCAAAAAATTCAAAATATAATCCAAGATTAATTTGTTTTCAATTTATATAAAATTAATTAATCAGCTTGAACTTTAATGATTTTAAATCAAATAAATTAAAACAATAACAAAAGAAAAAAAAAACGAAATATGATTATAATCACTAGAAAAAAAAAATTGTTTTAGCATTAGAAAATAAAAAATGAAACTAATAACAAATATTCTCTTATTTGAATTTGAATAATTTACTTTCAGCTTGTGTTTATTTCACTCTCTTAAATGCTTAATAAGTGACCATTCGTCGATTTTAAAGATATCTGATTAAGCAAAAATTAATTTGAAAAATTTAAATGCTTATAATATGAAACATTTCCATCAGTCCAGCAAAATGTATATTAATCGTATGAATGCATTTAAGAATGAATTTAAAAAAGTAAAAAGCAAAACTGAAATAACTTTAAAAGAAATAAAATTATACCAAATAGTTTTGCCAAAAGTGTAACATCTCTATCAAGAATAAAATTAAGGATTAAACGAAAACATTCAAATATATTTTAAATTCAAAAATAAAAGTTTACAAGCAGTTAAGTTTTATAAACAACAAACTATTGAAAAAAAAAAAAATGAAGAATAAACTGCTAATATATTTAAGCCTGTTATTTGAGAGAAAACAACCGATTTTATAATAAAAGAACTAATTAATAGTAAATTTATGTTTTAAAATTCATTCTTAAATGCATTCATACGACTAATGTTGATTTTGCTGGACTGATGGAAATGTTTCGTATTGTACAAAAATTAATTTGAAAAATTTAAATTGAAAAATTTAATGATTGTTTCAACGACTCGAAGACCCAAAACTGCATCCTGTCCACTTTTTTCTTTTATATTTACTTTCATTTCTGGAGTTTTCTGCGCTTCAGCTGCCACTTCCAGTTCTTTCTCCTCAGTACATGGCAAATGATACCCTTTTCCCGTTAATATACTCTTTCGAGTAATCAACCTGAAAACAATTTATTGAATAAATCCTTAAACCACAGTTTTAAGAGTTTACTGAGTCACTGTCTAAGAAAAAAGTCTATATGTTAACTATAAAGTGTTTTATTCGGTTAGTTTATAAAATAATTCTGAGTGGGAATTTCTGAAAATCATCATCAACCCAACCATTTGACATGATCTAATTCCAGGTGAACAAAATTCGTCCATAAACTGCATTCTGTAGGATTCAACCGAATCCCCTCTTGCATTATACAACGTGCGCACTCTATTCTATGTTCGACTGAATATTCAAATCGAGCCGCTTGAATTCGTAAAGCAGAATTCCTTGGAAAGAGCTGGAACATATAATTTCATAAACTGGAACATATAATTTATTTGACGTTATATTCTGATCAGTCTAATTAAGACCACGTAATAAAAGTAATCATTTCTGACGCCGTGAGTAATTATTTACTTTCACGAAGGCCTAATTTTAATTCGCACTTTACAAATTTACTAACCCTTGATTCTGCCCTTACAAAAAGAGATTCCTTTCAGAAACTTACCTGCATTGCGCGGAAATACGCTTTACTGCATCGGATATACATTTTCTCTTCCTTCAAAATCCGATCAAATCAAACCAAAGCTCTGCCCGCCCCTGCAATCAAATGATCAGAGAAACCTAACAAGTTAATATGTTTTCATATTAACTTGTTAGGTTTCTCTGAACATAAACTGCACGTCATTTGAAAATATGAAGTTAAGTTAATATCAAAATATCAGCTATAATTTCAACAAATTATCGAATTTTTTCAGTTTTCAAAATTTGGCAGACATACCTATATTATAAAAAAGACTACACCAAAGTATACTCCTATTAAACAAAAAATGAAAAACCTGAAATCGTTCACAAACTGTCGCAGCAGATTGGCAACTTTGATGATGATTTTGCCTTCAATTTCATCTTCTCTCAACCTGTAATTCAATCGTTTCCGTCGCATTCGAACAAGCTTCATAATCGATCCCAAATAATCGGTATATCCTTTGAACGACGATGGATCTTTCCGCTGAAAATAATACGCATTGATTGGTACTTTCACCAAACACTAAATGATGCTAATGTTATAAAATTCCAATGAGTACCCAAAAATCAACTCTCTCTCTCTTGGACATTTGACGGACATACAGCATCAACTTATAGTAATACTTCAGGCTTTACACTGCGACATTTAAGCACTTCCACTGCGAAATCCAAACTAATTTAACAGATCCTGACAAATTCAGCAAGAAAGTCATTGTGATTAATAGTATAGCATAAGTTAAGTTGTCGAAGAAAAAGTTCTTACAGGCTTTTGAAGAAGATATTCGAAGAACTGGCAACGTTTGACAAATGCATCAATTTCAGTAGGTGATAATAACTGAACATCTTTTAATGTCTCGAAAACAGGAAGCAAACCTTCGATATCTTCTTCCACAAATTCACTCATTCTTCACCCAGTGATCGGCACAAAAAAATAATTTCGTATTATTCTCGAAAGAACTACCATTGAAATTACCTCATATAAGATAATAGAAAAAGTAAAGATGATCCTACAAGTTACTGGTTATGCATAGAGTAAGATTAGTCCTATTTGAATCATCTTGATAATATCAATCATTATCTAAGCAATTCTGGATTATCAACTAAAATAAAGGCAATATTTTAATAACATTTACTAGATTATATTTATGACGTTCCCGTGGAAAGAATTTCTCGGACAAATTCATTTATTTCTCTATAAACTATATATTAATGAATGAATCTAGACATTACCACACAATACAAACACCCCACCGAACAATATACGACCAAAACCAACAAAACACTACCACACCATTAACCCCTCAATTCCAACATTAAGCTAAAATTCCTCAAATGCAATATTTTTGAATTTAACGCGGTCCATTATGCTCTGAAAGCATCTCCGAAACTCTTCAATTTTATATAATTCTTCCGATCACTAGTGTAAAGGGTTTATTAGGGTTTATTATAGGAAGGAACTGCATAATTGAAGAGTATATAAGTAAATAGTATAACGGAAAATATCATGCCAAAATTATGAATTTGTTTGCGTCATTACGAGAGATCACGGATATATTACGTGATTATAAGCTGACGTAAGTGGTTTTTTTAACACAAGTATTTATTTCTCTTTTAAATCATTTCAGTTTCTTAATATTGTGATTTCAATGTGTTGAGAATGACTTCTAGTAGTACAGTATCAGTAACAATTTAGCGCTATGTGAACTATACGTGATAATTTCATGAAATTCGGATTCAAAATTTTTATGAACAAATGTAACTTAGATTAACGCTGTTAATATTGTAATAGGAATTCTGGATTTTAGCATAAGTTTATTTCAGTTCACACATTCATTGATTGCATTATCACAAGTAAAATTGTAAGTTGGTTAGAAAATCATATGGTATATCAAGTACATCAGCAATTATTAAAATTATCATTATTATTTGTTATATAGAAGTGATCTGTTAGCTAGAGTGATGATGTGTTAGTATCAGTCTTTGATATTCCCGCTTTACCAGAATTTCATTTCGTCTTTGTCATAAATTCTGCAACTTTATCGGCGATATGTAATTCCTTGATTACGCTTCATTCCTCTTCTTCGTCTGTAATTATCGCGAAATATCGCTTGGTGGAATTTTTGCTCAGAATCTGTTTCATCCGATTCGTTACAATCATCATCATCATCATCCTCACCATCATCACTGTCATCGTCATCGTCGTTGTCGTCCAATACATCAAAATTTGTCCCTATATATTAATGATGTATAAGTAAATTCGATATTTTTTTTCCTATTCTAGCTTTAGTTATAATTTCTTGTCTGTTTTTTAATGAAGAAATATTAATTTCGTATATTTGTACGTTCTCATCGACGTATATTTCATCTACGTATAGCACGCAAACGTAAAATATCAGGTAGAATGATTTGTAATTCTTATTTCTGTATTAAAATTTTTAATTTTTTAAGAGTTGTAATCTTATTATCAAAATATTATAGTTTGTTAATTTTCGTCTATATGATAACTTACCGCCAGTATTTTCGACTGTTATTTCGTTGCTATCATCGTAATCATCACTAGTTGCATCACTTGTTGAATATAATTCACTCTTTTCATTACTATAGTCTCTTGATTCACTTTCCGTATCCGAATCACCATAAGCATCTTGAATAAGCGTTGATTCGGAATTTCTAATTTTGCTGCATCCAGTTTCTATTTTCATATTACCTTGCTCCAAACATCCGCTTAGATGACATTTCGATACATCAGTCTCATTCTTTAATTGTCTTGAACTACTACTACCAGCTTCTTCTGAACGTGAAACATTTAAATTTGTTTGTTCTACAAAATGCTGTGCATTTTCTGGTTTGTTTTCGCAGAATGGACAAAACCAGTCATTTTCCGGGATTCGCTCCAGTTTCTCCGGTAAGCAATAGCAATGATAGGCGACATTACAGCGAATCGTAGAACCATCAGCATTTTGACCAATGTTTCCGTCGCAGAGTAGCAGTAAATGTTCATTATCTGAACTTCTGCATGATCGGCAGTTTGCATATTCAATGGTAATATCTTCATTTGAAGGGCCGCCTTGATCATTTTCCAGTTGTTCTTGGGCAAGAAGCTTGAAAATTCAAAAATTTTGCAAAATTTTAAGCAAAAATGAAAAAAGATTTCAAAATAATTAACAACAAATAATATGGTAACATTGTTAATTCTTTATAGAATATGTTGCAACAAATGATTGTAATATTTCTTTTTTCTGAAAATTTAGAACAGAATTATGTCAAAAGGGATAAGACTCTAAAGGATAGATTTGAAATTCAAATTTTTTAAAAAATTACAATGAAGCTTGAAAGACTTCTGTTTATACAGAATAACATTATGAATTTTCACCTTTCCTCCAATTCAATCAAATTTCTTCTGATTTAAAAGCTTAATTTTAACTGCTTGGTAAATTCTAGGTTAAAAATTTCATATATGGTCCTAGACTAGAATCTTTATATAAAGAAAGGTAAACTGGAATATTTTCATGACCGTGTCCGGAAAAATTGTTTAAAATATTTAATTAATCAAACAAAGGACCATTTCACTATAATAATAACAATCATCATGTTAAATAAGTTTAAAAAAATTAATGATATAGACAATCAAATTAAAATATTTCATAGTGATGATATATTAATGATAACACTGATAACCTCATTTTCAAATTGTTCCTTTGTTCTTTTTTTTACTGGCACTTTTCTTTCATTGTTTGTTTCTTCAATTTTAATTAGATATTTTGGCTCTCCACCACAAAGTGGGCATTGTGATCGCTTTTTTAACCAATCGCGAATACATTTAAAACAGAATTTGTGCTTACAATTATCAGGTCTTCCAAGCGGATATTTTAATTGTTCCAAACATATGGCACAATTTGATTCCATTTTTTTTTTTTCTTTTTTTAAAAAAGTCTTGTTAGAATAACACTCTTTTTAATCGTCTGCAAAACTAACACTTCCAGTGGTTATGCGAACTCTTCACTAACAGATCCTGTAGCTAATACTAACTGATAAAATAATAAAATGATTATTTATAGTAAAGAAAATTTTTGAAAAATTTGCATATGCAAAAAATGTATTTAAAAAAATGGGAAAATTTATTGTGTTGAGAGGCATTTTAAAAAAGATGAAAGGACATAATTTCAATGAAAATTTATGAACTAAAAAAATTTCTTTCAACACAAGCAATAATTATAGCAATAAATTACTAAAGCAAATAGAACTAACTTTTAAAAAAAGATGAAAAAAAAAGCAGGCAATAAGCAAAATAATATCACTCAAATAAAATTAATAGTTTAACAATGAGTTTTATATCAAAATGTACAATAAATATGCTCAATAAAAAAAGCATGCAGTTGCGCGTAGTTAGCAAAAAAAGCATGCAGCAAAGAAAGCTAACCACCTGCTATTTTTTTTTGCATGACCGATTAGAAATTAATTGCTGCTACAAAAAATAAATGATTTTGTGATACTAATTTTTACTTTCACAATAAATAATTGCTTTTTTTTTTCCTTATAATAATAAATAAATAAAACAAATATAATATGCCACAGATTATATACTTTTTTCTTTCATTCAAAGTAATTTTTCCAAGCGCAACTAAATTTGATAAAAATGAATACTTTTTCAAACTGCAATTAAATTTTATAAAATCTTGGAAAAGAAAAACTTTCAGGATGTAATTTTTTCAGGATGTGATTTCATCGAAATTGTCAATTAATCAAATCATTGGCTACTTTTTTTATATTTAGTAATAAATATAAAATTATTAGAAATAATTATTAAAACCGCACTTAAATTGTTAAATTTGTTAAATATTTGATTTAAATTTTGTCGTTTTGACTTTCAAATTAGTTAAGTTTGATAGTTAATTAGATTAGATAATTAAATTATTTCCAATAAAAAACGAGGTAAAATATATCAAATGCTTCTGATTTGTTATTTCTGTTTGTTTTAGATGTTAAATCTGTGTATTTTGCAATTATTTATTCAATTACATGCAATGTAAACACATATAAAATTTACTAATTATTCGTAATATTGAAGAAAAAATTTGATAATTATTGAAATAATCGTCATCGATAATTATTAAAATTATTCATTAAAATAATCACTGAGATCATTCGATAATTATTAATTAAATAATTATTTAGTAATTACTGAAATATTTATTTAGTATTATTCATTGAAATTCAATAATTTTTGTCTAATTATTGGAATGAAGTTTAACATAAATAACGATTAATATGATTTGAGATTTTCAAATCCATTGGTTCACCAATCATGAAATAAATCGATTTCTTCTTGTGATGGTATCTAAAAATTAACATTTTGAGAATGAGTTCAACATCTTATCAGTAACATTCATTACCATGTATCACATACTTATCCAAAATAGCATTTTTTTTCCTCCATAAAAAATTTTTTCTCATTATTGTCTCATTTTTATATACTGAACAATTGTAATTAAAAATTTGCGAGTGATAATAAGTTAGTTAATTATATCTTAATATGTTTATTTTGAGCTAAAAATTTTAAAGATTAATTGAAATGTAAGCATAAGATAATTCCCAAATGAAATAAAGTGATAGATTTAATTTTTTACTAGCTAGTATTAACACACTATAGCTTGTTTATTTTTCTTTTCTTTTAGCAATAAAAGTGAATTTTATTGTTACATGAAGTTCTGGAGTATTTTACAATCTCTTTAATTAATGGTGAGATAAATGATTCATTAATCGATGATAATTGTTCAAAGATTTCATGAAGCTCTATTTTTTTCTTTTAATATATGTATATATTTTTTCAACATTTCCAATGAGAGCATATTATTTTTTACTTCAAATTTTTGATTACAGAAGGGACATTATAACAATCCAGCA